TAGAGAACTTAGCTCCAAGTCTCTGGGCACCTCCAGGGGGTAGCAATTGGAGTCCCATCCTGCCACCTGCTCCCTCACATTGGTGCCTGCAACTTGGCACGTCTTCTTGCACACCCCCGGCAGCACATACAGCAAGTGGCTGCCAGGAGCATCCAGGGCTCCTCAGTGTAGGACTGGCAGTGCTGTGATGGCTTCTCCCCCCACCTTTAACCAACACCCAGCTCTTGGCACAACTGATAGGAACAGCTGCACTCAGACAGCATGGTCCAGATGTGGCTAGAGCAGCACTGATTTCAGATGTGGTAGATTTAGCACTTGGGAAACAATGCTGGAAAAGCCACATTTCCCTGTCCAGTCCCAGCCAGAGCTGCCCAGGACTCTGCAGAGACCTTGTGGATATGACCAGGGGGCTGAGGGCTCCTCAAGCATCCCCTGGAGCAGCCAGCTACCTGTGTCAAGAGTGCTGGAAGACTTGTGGGACTCCAGATTGCAAGTGCTTGGGCACTGGGAACTTAACACAGGCTTTGCTTCCAGCACGTGGCTGCTCCTTACGCTTGGGTAGTTCCAGCCAGCCTTGCTGTAAGGATTAACATGGGGTGGCTGTCACCTTGCCATGTCCTGGGATCTTCCTTGGCAGTGGGTGGTGCTGAACGGTTGCCCTGTGGCAGGAAATTTCTTCATTGTGCCCTAGAGCTGGCTAGAGAGGAGGGGCTGTGCTCCTCCACAGTAGGATTGTAGTTTTGTGCCTGGAGCTCATCTCACCAAGCCATGTTCTTTCTTCCAGGTGGATGAGCTGAATAAAAAGCTGACTCAGCATGAGAAGGCCACCCGGACCCAGCAGCAGAGGGTTAAAGTAAAGAGGGAACAAAAACGTGGGGGCTGAGCCCTGGAGCTGTTGGTGCTGCCAGGGGGCTCACCTGGGTTGTCTCTAAGCCAGTCTCTTCCCTGCCCACAGGCACTCGAAGGGGAGCTGCAGGCAGCAGTCACAAGCCATCAGGAGAAGGTGGCAGAGCTGCAGGCACAGCTCACCCAGAAGGAGCAGGCAGCTGAGCACTACAAAGGGCAGGTATGCTGGGGGCTAGTATGGCTGTGCCATCCCTGACACTGCTGGGAAGCTTGACAGGATTTCTCTGCTTTATATCCTAGATGGAGAAGGCAAAAAGTCATTATGATGCCAAGAAGCAGCAGAACCAGGAGCTATCAGAGAAGCTGAAGGCCATGGAGCACCTGCAGAAAGAGAACACAGAGCTTCAGAGCAAATCGGAGAGGCTGGCCAAGGAGCTACAGCAGAGCATCCTGCAGGCCAAGGAGTCTGAGAGGAGCTGCAAGAATCTTACCAGCCAGATCCACAGCCTGGAAGCTCAGGTGGGTATGGCAGAGTTGAGCTTCACCCTCCTTGTCCTCGCTTCCATCACCACCTCACTTGGAGGATAGATCCATCCATTCCTCCCTGCTTCCCATTCAGGTGCAGGAACTCAGCAAGATGACGACTGCCACAGTAAAGGGACATGAGACTTCCAACCAGAGTGTGGCCGACCAGAGCACTGATAGCCTCGATGAGGCACAGCTGCTCAACTCCACCAGGTACCACATTAATCTGCTTCCAGCACCCCAAAAATCCACTGTTCCTGATGGCCTGGTAAGCCTGGCTGGTGCTACCCTCACCCCCTGTCTCTGCAGGAAGGCTACCAGCTCTCAGTTGGAAGTCTCAGTGGTGCCGTCAGACACTGAAGAGTCACCGCTGTCTCAGCGGCTGTCCCAGAGGAAGTCATCCCTGGAGAGTCTCTACTTTACTCCCATCCTTTCTGAGAAGCCATCACAGCTCGAGAGCAGCGCCAACTTCCCAGGAGACTTCTCACTCGACTCCGGGCGCAAGACGCGCTCCGCCCGGCGCCGCACGACCATCAACATCACCATGACAGATGTGAGCAGGGGGCCCCTGCTGGGGAATGCAGGGATCAGGAGCAGCACTGCAGAGGGACCCAGCATGCTGGGAACTGAAAATGTGTACTGGCAGCCTAAAGTCCAGCCATGTCCTCAGCTGATCCCCAGCACAGTGGGAAGCGGTGCAGTGTGGGGATTCTGCCCCTCTGCTCCACTCTGGTGAGACCCCACCTGCAGAGCTGCTTCCAGCTCTTGGACTCCCAACACTTGAATGACATGGAGTTGCTGGAGCAAGGACAGAAGTCACAGAAGCTCTCCCAAGGGCTGACGTCCTGCTCTGGAGACAGGCTGAGAGAGTGGGGGGTGTTTGGCCTGGAGAAGGGAAGGCTCCAGGGAGACAATAGAGCCCCTGCCAGTGCCTAAAGAGGCTCCAAGAGGGCTGGAGAGGGACTTTGGACATAGACCTGGAGTGATAGGACAAGGGGGAGTGGCTTCCTATTGGCAGAGGGCAGGGTTAGATGGGATATTGGAAAGAAATTCTTCCCTGTGAGTGGTGAGGCCCTGGCACAGGTTGCCCAGAGAAGCTGTGGCTGCCCCATGCCTGGAAGTGTTCAAGGCCAGATTGGATGCAGCTTAGAGGTGCCAGGTCTAGTGGAAGGTGTCCCAGCCAAGGGAAGGAGATGAGCTTTAAGGTCCATTCAACCTAAACCCATCTGTGGATTTTTCTCTCCCAGAAACAGGCAGAGTCTGAGAAACTGGTCTGCATCAAGAACATCCCATTGGCTCAGTCCACAAAAACATCTTCCCCTGCTAAGGGCCGCCTGCGCTCAGGTGCCTCCACCCGTTCCCTCACCAGCTTCCCCTCCCAGGAAACTCTTGCAAAGCTGGAAGCCTCCTCTCCAGAGACGACCCCTGGCAATTCAGTCCTGTTGGGCCTCCCTGGGTACCGACCAGCCACCCGCAGCTCCCTGCGCTTGCAGCGGACCAGCAGCTCCAGCCTCGGTGTGTGTGGGCAGGGTGGGCGCTTGAACTGCTGGCTATGGGGTTCTCCCCTGGCTTGGGGGAGTCAGGTCTCACCTGGAAGCCCCCCTCATCCTTCCTTGCTTCGGATTTAGGCCAGAGCACCATGAAGCTGGGGATGTGCCAGGATGAGCCAGAGCAGCTGGATGACTGGAACCGCATCGCAGAGCTGCAGCGGCGGAACCAGGCCCGCCCCCCCCACCTGAAGACCAGCTACCCCCTAGAGAGCATGGTAAGGGGGAGGTCAGGCAGTGCTTTGCCCAGAACTGGGGTTTGGGAGGGGGTCTGGCAATGGACAGTGCCCTTCAGCAACATCCCCTCCCCAGCCCTCCACCTCCTTGGGAACCATCACGGATGAGGATGTGAAGATGGGGGACCCAGAAGAGACGCTGCAGCGTGGCAGCAGGCGGCACTCCCAGATGGCCGGCAGCAGCCAGCGCAGCAGCCAGGCCCCCAGCCATGCCAGCAGCATCACTACCCGGCAGCAGAGGAAGCGCCTCTCGGAGGAGTTCGACCAGGGCCTTGACACCCCCCCGGTGAGCTCAGCCCAGTCCCCCATCTCAGCGCCCTGCTGGGAACAAGAGGTGTTCCAGGTTTTGAGGGAGCTGATGTGGCACTCTGGGTAACACCCCCATTTGCCACATGTTCCCACTGATCCTGGATTCCAGTGCCCAGTATTCCCAGCATCCAGTGGTGTGTCTACTATTCGGGATGCTCCCAGTGCTGGCAAGGAGGCCATTCCAGAGGCAAAGAGCTGAGCCTTCTGCCTTCTCTGGGCACTGCTACCCTCAATCACATCCCCTCCCTGCAACTCCTCAGTTCCCTCATTGCTGCCAGCCCACAGCAGGCTGATCCCCAGATGGCAGTACTAGCTGGTCCCCTGTTTTCCAGTCCAAGAAGCCAACCAGCTGCTTCCCACGGCCCCAGACCACCCACGACCACGGTGCGCAGAGCGGCTCCCAAGTCAGTCAAGACAGCAAGCAGCCAGCCCCAGCCACACCAGTAAGCTTCAGAGGGGAAAAGAGGGATCAGGAGGGACCCCTCTGTCCTGTCCCACCCTGAGCTAATGGTCCTGCCCCTCTTTTGCAGGCTCAGAGACGCCAGTCGATGGCGTTCAGCATCCTCAACACCCCCAGGGAGCTGGGGCGGCGCCTGCTGCGCCGGGCAGTGGCCCAGAGGAGCACTCCCACGTCCTCCAGCGGCACCCGCCGGTCATCCCGCATCGCCACCGCCAAGTCCCCAAAGGGCAAGGTAGGCACTGCCTGACCCCTGGGCACGCTTCTGAGCTCATGCTCACCCCAGTGCCCCCAGCTCCTGCCTTGGGTTCATGCAGGCCATGGGGAAAAGGGGGGCAGTCCTGCTGTCCCTGGGGTAACAGCAGGTCCCAGCACGGGGTCAGTCACGTTCACGGTCCCTAACCTCCCATCTTCGCTCTGTCCTTTCCAGGCCAGTCGCCAGTTGCGCAAGAACAAGCAGTCCTGAGGCTTCCCCAGTCCCTGCATTGCTGGCTCTGCCCTGGCCCCCCACCTGCACCCCCTCACCTCTTCCTGTCCCCCCATGGCCCAGGAGCACTGAGGGTGAACAGGTGGGGCCACCACACCACTGCCTTGCATATCCCACTGACAGCTGTGGGGGTGCCCTGGGCATGGCAAGGCTCCCTTGCCCTTCCTGTACCCATTGTCATCCCAAACCCTTCTGGGACCCAAGGCAAGGGGATGCATAGAGGCTGAGGGCTACAAACACACAGGGGTGCAGAGGAGGGGCTGAGCTCTCCCCAGTGATACTCTGCAGCCCCAGGTACAGGGACAGAGGTGAAACTTAGCATCCCTCGTGCCATCACCCTTGCTCCCTGTGTGTGGGACCCCCCCCCACCTGCCCTGTCCTCCTGCTCCTCCCAGGGAAGCTGAGGCAGCATTTTTAAATGTTTCTACTTGTAAATAAAGTGTATTTTTCACCTGATCTCGGGGTCCTGGTTTCTTCTTGCTACAGTCCACATGCACTGGAACCCTTACCACAGCTTGAGAGGAGGAAAAGCATGACCTCCTCCTTGCCCTATCACTGAACTGCACAGGGTGTCCCAAGGCAGGACACTCACCCAGGGAGCCTGCTGTACCACCAAGCAGTCAGTGCAGACTTCTGTCTTTCTTATTTTTGTCCTTTAACTTAACTCTTCTCCAGTAGCAACCCCTGCTATTACAGTGCTTCAGACCCCACCAAACCTGGCCATGGGGCTGGAAACACCTGCTCCTTCCTCACACCAGCCTTGCCAAAGATGTCTGGGGGCTGCAGTGTCTCTATCCCTTTGAGTACCTCAGGTTCAGCCCTCAGGGGTGGTGACACAGGGTTTGTCCCCAGCTCTGCTGTCCTCCTGCAGCCAGTGGGGTGAGGACAGGGCCCCTGGTGTCTCCCTGCAGTTGCTGGCATGCTGCTCTACCTCTGCCACACCAAAGGGCAGCTGGCAAATGGGGCAGGGCACCCAGGCATCAGGGGACAAGGAAGGCCAGGCTACAGCAGGTTCTTCTCCACACAGGGAGGCATGTGTGGGGAGCAGATTCAGCAGGAATTCAGCAGGATTCAGCCTGTGGAAAGGGAAGGTGATATGGTTGTCACAAGTGTTGGGATGATAGGGGGTTTGGACTGACACCCCTCCCTGATGGTTCTCATGGCAGCCTGGGAACACACTGTGATGCACCTCCAGTGCCAGGGCACCAGCAGGAGTGATGTGTCCCAGCTATGGAACTGCCACCATAATCCCCATTTGCTGCTCAGTGTCCCCTGGCCACCAGAGGACACCTCTGCCAAGCACCCACCTGAGCAGATGGGGCAGACACCTGTCCCCCATCACTGCTGGTCTGTCCTCTGTCATTCCTCCTGACCTCTCTCTCTTGGGGGCCACAGGCTCAGGCTCTTCCTTTCACCCTGGACATCCTTCAGGTGGCAGCTGGAGCCCTGCAGAGGGTAACGTGCTGGAGGTACCCTATACCACATTCTGCTGGCCCAAAAGAGTGAAGGGCTGGGCCCAGAACTATCTGGGAAAGACTGAGAGCAGTAAACAGCCAAGGTGAGGGCAGGAGAAGACAATGACCCATGGGATTACCTGCCAGCAGGGCTGTGAGCAGAGTGCCTGTCCAACTGCCTGCAGGTACTCAAGGGAGCTGCAGGGACTCCAGTGCAGAGCCTGGGGAAAAGCAGGCAGACAGTCTGGGTTGGAGATTTTAAAGCTCATCTTGTTCCAGGGACACTTTCCACTAGACCAGGTAGCTCCAAGTCACATCAAACCTGAACACCCAGTGCAGAGCCTGGGGAAAAGAAGGCAGGAATGACAGAGAGAGGACAGTCTGGGTTGGAGATTTTAAAGCTTATCTTGTTCCAGGGACACTTTCCACTAGACCAGGTAGCTCCAAGTCACATCAAACCTGGCCTTGGAACACTTCCAGGGATAGGACAGCTACAGCTGCTCTGGACAACCTGTGCTGGTCTTACCCCCCTCACAGGGAAGAATTTCTTTGTACTATACCATATAACCCTGCCTTCTGTCAATTTGAAGCCACTACCCCTTGTCTTGTCCTCCCAGGCCATTGTCCCTCTCCAGTTCTTTTGGAGCCCCTTTAGGCAGTGGAAGGGGCTCCCAGTTCTCAGAACCTTCTTGTCTCCAGGTTGAACAGCCCCGGATGTTCCAGCCTGTCTCCACAGTAGAGGGGCCCCAGCCCTCAAGAGCATCTCCACAGCCTCTGGACTCATCCCAGTTGCTCCACACTCTTCTGATGTTAGGGGTCCCAGAGCTGGAGGCAGCTCTGCAGGTGGGCTCTCACCTGAGAGAGCAGAAGGGCAGAATTCCCCCTTGCCCCGCTGCCCACAGTGGCTGGAAGCTAGCCCAGGACACAGCTGTGCAGATTCACTCACCTGGCACTGCAGGAGCTCCCACATCCTTGGCCAGCAGCTCGGGTGACCCTCCAGGGTGCTCGTGCCAGCTCTGGGCCTCAGCACCATCCAGACAGAGTGGCTGAGGTGGGTTGGGCTCCAGGCAGCCCCTTCCAGCTTCCACTGGCAGGTCCTCAGTTGCTTCTCCTCCCTGGATCTCCTGGGGATAGGGAGTGTCAGCCATGCAGGAGGACAAAGCTGTCGGGAGCTGGGGCTCTGGGCTCCAAGGAAGCACCTCCAGGGGTTCCAGGCCACACTGTGCAGGGACAGGATGGGGTGGGCCATGTAAATGCATGATTCAGGAAAGAAAGTCCTGTGAAAGGCAGGGCTGGAGCACCAGGGTCTGAGTGCTCAGCACCCTCCTGTGGGACAAGGAGAGGCCCCAGGCAATCAAGATAGGCTCTTTGTGCCCACCACCCTGGGCACAGCCCCTAGCTCAGCCCAGCAAGCACTTCCTGGGCTTTCCATGGGGCACAAGTGGTGTCCGTGGAGGAGCAGTCCCTTCCTGCTGCCTCCCCATGGAGAGGGATACATGGAAGTGTGAGAGACACCTACTGTGTCCAGGGGTGGCCGTGGGGGGTCAGGCTCCTGCCCCTGTGGTTTGCACAGGCGGATGAAGGAGAGCCCAAAGCAGCTGCATGGACCAAAGGGCTGGCTGCAGGTGAGCTGCAGGCTGCTGCAGTTCTGGAGACAGGCACACGACTGAACACGCCAAGTTCCTGTGACAAGAGCCAAGGTTTATTGATGGGCACCCCCTTTTATAGGGGCTCCAAAATTCCTGCACTTGAACACTTGATTGGCTGGGGTCTGACCACCACCCAGCTCCCTGCCCAGTTAGATGTCTGTGTTCATGACTGAGAGGGATTGGCTGGGCTCCCCTGTTTGAGTTCAAATCCAACTTCTCACTGTCTTACCCAGGGACTTGTTTGCTTCTACTCTTTAACGAGCTAGGCTGGTCGAGTTGGGGTCTGTTACAGCCAATTTTAACTGTGCAGCTTCAGACCAGCTGCAGCTGTCACAGCACATGGCGCCACGTCTGCTCCACCATCAGCTCTGAGAAATCTGCTGTGGGGAAGAGCAGCTGGGGTGGATGGGGCACAGCACTGCCCACTGCCCCAACACCACTCCTACCTCTGCTTGTGGCTCTGTTGCTGTGCCACCCAGGACACCTGGGGGATTATGGGCACAAGAAAGGGCAGGGAAGCAGAGCTGGTAGAGCTTTCCTGAGGCCATAAACAACCCTAACCCCTGGTCTACCTGCCCTCTTCTACCTCCTATCAGCCACATCCTATCACCAATACCCCATATCAGCTCCATCCCACGACCAGGCCCACAGCTCTTCCCTATGCCTTTTTCCTTTGGCTCAACCCTTACCTTCCTAAAACATCTGAACCCTGCAGTGATTCTGGTCCAGCTTCGAGTCAGCTGGTGTCATCAGTGTGACAGTGGGCACCAAGGTGAGACAGAGCTGGTCACAGGGCCAGCATCCCACCTCAAACTGCAGAAAGGTGCAGCTGTAGTTCCCTGGGGAGCAGCAAGAAGGATGGGACCAGGGGGTTCAGAGCTGCTGACCCCATTGTGGGGCATGGTCCTGGTTCCTGCACAGGAGTGGGGAACAGGGAATATCAACGTCAACACAGCCAATGGGCCTGGCTCTCTTTAGCCACAGCTCCATGCTCAGCTCCTGCTGAGATCCTTGGGGCAGCCAAGTCAGGGCCGTATGCTATCCTCACTCAGCAGGTTCTCTGCTGGGTACTTTGCGTCCTGCACACACAGCATCATGCACCAACCCCTCCCTAAACACCCTCCCCTCCAGCTCTAGCTTGTTCTGGACATGGGGAGAAGCACAGAACTCTCTGGTAACATACAGGAACATCCTCTTATTTTGAGAGAGCAAAAATGATGCAAATCATTGCCCTTCAGCTTAACAAGGTGAGGTAGTACTGCACCCTGTCATGCCTTGACCCACCTCTCCCAGGACCCCAGCAGCTCAGAGGGATCACCCCCACAGAGGAAGCCCCCAGGCACCTGGGAGGAGAAGGACACCACATAGCTGATTTTAACCAGAGCCATTTGGGATCCTTTGGAGACAACACTGCTAGTGGAACTTCCCTTCAGATGCCTCCGGTGCCTGGTGGGCAGAGAGGTGAGTCTGATGAGCTTGGGCACCTCCTGGCTTTAGAAACATTCAGCAGCTCCCCAGTCCCACCCCACCGCCTCGGTGCCCCCCAGACGTGCCCCACCACCCCTCAGGTTACCGTCCCAGCAGTAACCCCACACCTGACTCACAGTCCCGCAGCTCCCTCAGCCACTGCTGCGCCCCCAGCCCACCCCACAGCGCCCATTCCGCCACCCGGGTACCACCCACATCCAGCCCTCAAGTCCTCACCCGCAGTTCCCTTCAGCTCCACGGCCCGTGCTCCCAGAGCCACAAACAACGCCCCAGAGCTGCTCTGCCACCGCCGCAGCTCTCCCAGTCCTTCCCCACTTTCCCAGCCCTGCTACAGCCCTGGCTCTGCCCCGCAGCCCACCCGGTGCTCCACCCCCAGTCCCAGCCGCACCGCTGTCCCGCCGCCCAAGCCTCGGGACGCCCCGATCCCGCTCCTCCATCCCGCTCCTCCCTCCCGGCCGCGCTGCGGTTCGGCCCGGGCCCGCCGCGGTGCCTCACGGGGCAGAGCCGCGGGCGGAGCTCAGCAGCCGCCGGCCACCCGCGCCCGCTCCGGGACAGCAGAAAGGGGCGGGCAGGGCAGGGCCCGGCGGCGCTGGCACTGGGACAGCGGAAAGGGCAGGGCAGGGCAGGGCAGGGCAGGGCCCGGCGGCGCTGGCACTGCGGGTCGAGGCGGGCAGCGATCACGAAGCCCGCCCCAGCGGTGACAGCTCGCCGCCTTTATGCGCCCGGAGCGGCGCGTCTGCGGCCGCTCCACTCCTCCCCTCTCCTGGTTGGCAGCGCCGCGCCCAGCGATTGGCTCGAGGTGCGGCAGCTCGCCCGGTGATTGGCTGGGCGGCGGAGGAAGAGGCCGGCCGCTAGGGGGCGGGGCAAGATGGCGGCCGTGCTGGAGGTGGAGGTTGGCGGCCCCGTTGAGCGTGAGGCGGAGGAGGTGCGGGGCCGGCGGCTTGGGCCGAGCCGGGCAGGGGGGGGGCGAGGCCGGGCTGCTTCAGCGCTGTGGGGCGCTCTGTGAAGGGGAGCCGCAGCGGCCATGGCGCCTGGGGGACGCGGGGTCTGGGAGAGCGGGGTGGGGATGCGCGCTGCTGGGGTCCCTGGAATGGCACGGCGGCGACTCTGGGTCACTTTGCGCTTGTGGACCTTTGGGGAGAGTTGGTGTGGGCAGTGTCAGGGCTGGGGGATCCTTGGTGTGGGAGGACAGGGGCAGGGTGGCCCCGGGAGCTTCGGGGGGCAGGAGCGCGGGGATGGAGGCAGAGCTGCTGTTCCCGTGCTGGCTTCTCAGTGTTCCTGGGGATGGAAAATGACAAAACTGGGGGGAAAAAAAAATCTGTCTGGAAAGAGGGAATTGGAAGCAGGGTGGGTGCTCTGTCACAGTGTGCGTGCCACTTTCGGCACTGCTGGCCCGGGCTTTGCAGTGGCTCTTCACCGTCCCCTGTGCTTCGTGCTTGGGAGGCTTTTTTCCACTTGTAGAGGACCAGGAAAACTGGGTTCCATCCCGTCTGCACTGTGGGAGCAGCTGCACAGGGGTCATAAGTTCACTTAGCTTGTACAGTCAGGTAATTTTTTTGTGCCTTTCCTCAAGAATTGGTGGTGTGGCTTAAAATTTGTCAGATGCTGGTGGTTGTTTTGGAGAAGATTCCTGGCAGGGCCCAGTTGTGGAGATGCCCTAGTGCAAGGCTGAGCTCTGGGATTTTGTACCTCTGCCCTCTGCCTTGTGTTGCTGTGAGAGTGGTGCAGTGGGGTGATGGGAGGATTAAATCCCAGATCAGTCACTCTTGAGTTGCTACTGGTTATATTTTAAGATACTCCTTGGTGACTTTGTATGTAAAAATGTGGAAGTTCCAAATCTCTGATGCTCAGAAGTGAAATTCCCACTTTTCATCCCATCAGGGCCTGGCAGAGAGGGCACCACAAGGCAGCAGTGAATGAGGAGGTGCATATAGGACTGTGCTTATCCCTGTGATTCCACAAATTGTTGGTGCAAAATCTGTCTGCTTGTGCTGTCCTGAGGTCTTGGCAGCTCCTTGGGCAGAGCAGTTTGCTGATGAGCACTCGTGGTGGGGACTGAAAGCAGTTTAACATTCCACCAGAATAAAGCCAAGTGTCCCATGACCCTGGCTCTGCCTGTGCAGGGGCAAGGGTTTAATTTCCAGCTATCCAAATGTTTGGTCAGTTGGGAGATTTCCACTCCCTGTTCCTTGTTCCTGTGTCTTATGAGCAGAAAAAATGCAGAATTGAGATTCCAAAATCTGTTCAGACTTTCACTAGAATATTCCTCATCCCAGCCTGCCTTGGTTGGACTTACAGCACTGTGCAGATTTACCTTCCCCTTTTTTCAGGTTATTCCTGGTAGGTGCTGGGAGACAGAGACTGAAGTTGGGGCAATGGGAAAGTGAGATCAGGGCTCTTGGTTCCTCTGGAGCTTGGAACTGAAACCAGCAGCTGCTTATTCTCCATCCTCAAGGCATTCTTGTTGCCTCCTCTGGAGATTTGGAGCATAAGTGGATTACTGTCAGCTCCCAGTGGTGTGTGTGTTTGCCCAGAGATCCTGCCAGCTCCCTGGGCTGTGAGGAGTGTGTGGCTCCAGCTTTGCTGTTATCCATATCAACAGTTTTGTGTTTTTCTGGAGGAGGTTTTTCTGTGACTGTCCCAGTGGTGGGGAGCACAGGTTTGTGGAGGCTTTGGGGCACCAGCTCCTGCAGAAAACCAGGGAGTGGCACGAGGTTCTTCCAAAGGCCATGATACCACGTCCAAGGAGAGCATTAGACTTTAGTCCTAGATATCCAGTTTCTCCTAGTCATCACCTGGAGGAGGCTGGGGTTTTTGAGAGGATCATGAATTACAGAGGAGACGGAGAGCAGAAGAATTGTTCTTAATTCCTTTTCTTCAAAACAAAAGGTTTGTCTAAGAGCTGTAGTTGTTAGCACACTGGGTCCTGTGTTGGTGGGGCAGCTGAAGGATGCTGAAACAGGAGTAGGCTGGTGTTGGACACTTGGTAGAGCTGATCTTCAGCTGCTTCAGCCACCCTAAATGTTCTTGTCAAACCCCTCTTCGTAAAGGGAGATTTAGGAGTAGAGGTTCTTCTGCCTGTTGGGGTTTGAAAGAGACCCCAGAGACTCAAAAGCTGCATGTTAAAATCAGACAAACTACATGTGGAATGAATGCTTGCTGGCAAGAGCAGGTGCTTCCTGCACCATTCCTGTGCATTTTTAACCCAAAACTTTTGTGCTGAGTGTGCAGATCAAGGAGGGGTTAACTGGAAGGTCTGACTCGGGGTGGCTGCTCTGCCAAGTCCTGTGTGACAGTCATCAGATCCCTCTCAACATCCCTTCTGTCACGTCCTGGCCCCCCTTAAGAAAGTTATTTCAGGAGCTTTGAGCTCTGGGGAATCTGGTGAAGCTCAGTCCTTGTACTTGAGAGAAAACTGTGTCCAGGGCCACAGATCCCTGATGGTCTTGGGAGCACAGCTCGGAAGAAGCCTGTCTGAGCAATGCCAGCAGTGTTTCCACAGGATTTGGAGCTGAGGCATCTTGAATGCATTCACCGGGAGAATTTGGAGATTCAGGGAAGATACCAAGGGAAAGAGGCTGGTAAATATTCCAGTCTCCAAGATGGGACCAACACTGTGGAGTGGCTGCTGATGTGGAACAAAGGAGAGAGCTGAGCCACCATAAAGAAATGAAAATCATTGCTGTGGTTGGAAAGTGCTTGTCAAATGTCTTCATCCAGCAAGAGTGGGGACAGAGCCTGGGAGGAGTGGGAGCACCTGGGTGACTCTCAGAGCTTGAAGGGGGATTGCCCTGTGCTGGAGCCAACAAGAACCAGGGGTTTCTCAGAGTCTCCTGTGTGCAGTGACCAGCAAACATTTTAAAATCTCCTTTTTTCCTGTTTGTTTGGAGCAGTTGTTGCTCCAAATTACATTGCAGTCGCTGAACTGATGGATGTGGCTGCTTTAGGAGCAGAGGAATTTGGTTGATACAAACACCCTCCTTGGTGTCAGGTTGTCACCACCTTCCCTTGGCTTCTGATGCAGTTCAGCAAGCTCCAACAAGGATTTTTATACCTTTAGGTTTTGCATCTAAGTCCTGAAGTGTTTTTCAGGACTTCATTCTCAAGGGCAGGCTGAATTTCTCGCAGGTGTTGCTCTGGGGTGAAGCTCAGCAGATGTTCCACATCAGGCAGATGGATTGCTGGGGTGTGTTTTTCCCTACCTCCTCACCCTGGAGCAAATTTAGGTGCCAGAGAGGAAATGAGGCAGCTGTGCATCCTCAGCTGAGCCTGGCTGGGATCAGAGCTGCTGCCTGGGAGACACCTGTGTGCTGGTGATGGTGACCAGGCAGGGGAGGTGACTGCTGCACCAGCCTGTGGAGAGCCCCAGGTTGGATCATAAAGGCTGGATCCAAGCCTGTGACCCTGTACCCAGTGGGGTGAGGTGGAGCTCGTTCCAGTGTACACATCTCTGGTGTGTGCAGGAAAAAGTGATAACAGTCTGTGCTGTGGCTTGTTTCCAGCCCTCATCTCCAATGCCTCAGCAATACTGGAGTGTCTCCAGCACCGTGAGGATTTGTAAAGCCCACATGCATGTTTCCAGCCCTGATGAGCTGCACTTGATTTAATCTGAGTTTGTGTCTCACCAAGGAAAGGTGATGGGAAGAGCTGTGGGATTCCCTCCCCAGTGCTGCCTGGTCAGTGACCCTGGGTGAGGACAGGACTGGTGCTGGAGGCTCCTCAGCTGTTAGGTGAAGATATTGAGGGAAAGGTTTTGCCAGAGAAGCTGTGAGCTCCCCATCCCTGGAGGTGTTCAAGAGCAGCTTGGGTGGTGCTTGGAGCAACCTGGTCTAGAGGAGTGTTCCCCATGGGAGGAGGGTTGGAGTAAAATAAGCTTTAAGGTCTCTCCAGCTCAAAGCATTCTGTGGTTCCGTGATTCTTTATAAAACTCCAGGTGAAAGCAGAAATGCAATGTTGAAGCTCCCCTTATTCCTCCCCTGCCCAAAAATGAGAGTATTCACACTTTTTGTGGATCTTACTGGAGAAGATTGGATACAAGTATCCATTGTCAATCATCACTAATAACAGCAGCTCCCTTTGCTCTCCATAGCTCCTGCCTGTGATGTCTGGGAGGAATTTCCAATTATTCCAGCAAAGCAAGGCCTAAATCTTTCTTTTACTGTGATTTTGACATCTTTTTGACATTGATTTGTTGCTGGTGTGTGACATACTGTCCCCTGTCTTGCAGCTTAGTGGAATTTTGGACTCCTACCACTGGTGGGAGCACTGGCTTCACTGTGCCCTGAGACACCTGGCTGGGTTGTGAATGTGGGATTTAAACCAGTCCTTTTGTTCTAGTCACATGGGATGTTGGACAGAGCCTTGGCTCCAATAAAATATGGGGGTGTAGGTAAGGCAGAGGAGCAGGGAGAGTCGCTGCTCTTCCTGGGAAGGTGAGGGACAGCTCTGGGCTGTGCTGGCACTGTGAGCATTTGGAGGTTTCTCATTTAAAGCATCTGAATCCACAGTTTCCCAGCAGCTGATTTCATGGGCGTCTATTTTTTTTTTTCTCCCTAGATCGATCTTTCACACTTG